GACTCTGCCTCGTTTGTGAGTTAATTGTAAGGGCACATTGCAAAGGGTATGGAGGCAGGAGGCATAAAGGACTCGGGGTATCTTTACAATCTACCACAGGTGGGTATAGAAATGACTTCTAGATGGGGGACCTGAATAAAATCATAGAGGGGGGACATTTGAGGTGATGTGTTTAGGGAATTGCATGGAAATGAAAGAGGTAAGGAAGGAGAAATGGACTACAGCTGAGCCCTGAATAATGTCTGAATTTGAATGTTATTCTATAGAACAGTGTTTCCCCAACTCATTAGTTTGACCCCACCATTGTGCTTTTTGCTGTATCTGTGTATGTTCTTTTTAAAAAATATTTTATTTATTCATTTGAGAGAGAGAGAGAGACAGAGAGAGCACAAGCAGGGGAGAGGCAAAGGGAGAGGGAGAAGCAGACTCCCCACTGAACTGGGAGCCCAACAATGCAGGGCTCGATTCCAGGACGTGGAGATCACGATCTGAGCCGAAGGCAGACGCTTAACCATCTGAGCCACCCAGGCGCCCCATGTGTATGTTCTTTAAACCCACTCAATTTTTAAAAACATACATGTATTTAAAAATAAACATTATACAACTATTATAATGGAAAACTAGTATCACTTTGCCATGAATGGAAGGCAGTCAAGAAAATTAACACAACAGGGGCACCTGGGTGGCTCAGATGGTTAAGCCTCTGCCTTCGGCTCAGGTCATGATCTCCAGGTTCTGGGATCCAGCCCTGCATCAGACTGCCAGCTCAGCGGGGAGTCTGCTTCTCTCTCTCCCTCTGCTTGTGCTCTCTCTGTCTTTCTCTCTCTCTCTCTCTCTCAAATGAATAAATAAAATTAAAAAAAAAAAATCAACACAACAAAAACCGTAGTATCATGGGATGCCTTCAGCTCAGGTCATGATCTCAGGGTCCTGGGATCGAGTCCCGACCGTCTCCTCGCTCAGCGGGGAACCTGCTTCTCCCTCTCCCTCTCCCTCTGCCACTCCCCCCTGCTTGTGTTCTCTCTCTCTCTCTGACAAATAAATAAAATCTTTAAAAAAAACAACAAACAAACAAAAAAGTGGTGTCATTATTACACTGTGCTCACTATTGTTACCTGCCCAAGGCTATGAGTCTATGTCCTGCTCTCTGTTACAGAGATCAGAACATGCTAGGTGTTAAAGACATAGCATCACTGGACAGAGACTGTCTCCTTGATATATGGTCAGATAGCTGAAGAGAGATTTGGACGGAGAACATGCTTACTATGCGACCCATTGTCACTCAATGCCATGCCTCAAGTTATCAGTGTGACCCACGCTTGGGAGATCTGCTATTCAAGAATGGGTGTTTGAGCGGGGTTGTGACATGGCTCCCTGGCTCCTGCCATTCAGCATCAGGGCTCAGTCTGGTTTTTCAGTCTTCTGTGACAATGAATGCTTAATCAAAAATATGAGAGACTGGGGCACTTAGCTGGCTCAGTTGGTGGAGCGTGTGACTCTTGATCTTGGGGTTGTGAGTTCAAGCCCCACGCTGGGTGTAGAGATTACTTAAATAAAAACTTAAAAAAATAAAGGTATGAGAGACATGATGTTGCTTTCTTTGTTTCTTTCTTTAAGTCAAGAAACCACATTGTTTTTATCGTTTTTATTTATGTCAAGAAACCACATTCTTATTTCTTTCGCCATATTTGAAATCCAACACGGGCACATAAAGGCATAAAATAATGAAGAGTAAAACTGTATTTATTTAGGTGAAAAGCTTGAGGAAGGCCAGTTAGCAAAAATCCCAAATTTATAGATATAGTTAATAAAGTAAGCATGTATTCCTTTTAAGCAATTTCTGTAAGTTGCTTAGATTTAAATCCTGTGAATTTCAGAATCAGGATTTAAATAATGAGTTAGGAAGACAGTTTTTAGTTTAACCCAACTAAAAGTACCTTTCTTTGCAGTATAACTTTGTATATTTTAAACATTGGAGAAAGGATACATTTGATCTTTAAAGAATACGTATTTTGAAAGAGATTAATTTTAATTTATCAGAAAGACTTTTTCTGGTACTGAGAGTTAGTAAATTTGGGGCATAACCCCTCCCAGGAAACTGTGGCAGATGCTTGTGAGTTTATGGAGCGCAAAATCAGCACTGTTGCTACGCATTCAGCACCGCTTTGCATGAATAATCCCTTTTAACTCTCCTCACAATCCTGTGAAGTAGGTACACTTGAACCTTCACTTTCCAGGTGAGGAAACCGAGGTTTAGAGCAGTTTTGAAACTTGCTTGAGGTCCTTTGGCTGCTGAGGAGCGCAGTGGATACCGGAGCCCAGGTTAGCCTGATTCTGGTGCCCAAGGTCCTAGCCCCTCCCTGACACCGCCTCTTACTCCAACACACGGGCATGGAAAAAAAAAAAAAATTAAAGACTTTACAGTAGAGTCCTCTTTCTCTGGTTCTATATTGTGCTCTTCTATTTTTGCAATTACTAATAAGCCCTCAACTTAAATCAGTGCAAAGGAGCAAGCCTGCTGGGCATGCTTACTGCCAGTAATAGGTGACATGATCTCAGGGTCTGAGCGATCCATTTTGCTGTTAATTGCAGGGGTTTCTTTTCTGTGCGGCAAAGAAAGTTATAATTCTGAGACCTCTTTTGTCCTGAAACTTACTAGAATAGAGAGAGAGAGAGTGGTAACTGTTGGAGACAGTTTTCATATCTAAATCTACCTTGTTTTGGAAAGTTCACACAGTATTCCATCCTATGGATGTGCTGTAATTCATTCATACTTAATTTTTCGGTTAATGGACCTTTTTATTTTTAAAAAGATTTTATTTATTTATTTGAGAGAGAGCGGGGGGTGGGGAGGAGCAGAAGGAGATGGAGAGAGAGTCTTAAGCAGACTCTGTGCTGAGTGCAGAGCCCCACATGGGGCTCAGTCTCACCACCCAGAGATCACGATCTAAGCTGAAGCCAAGAGTCGGACACCTAACCACCTGCACCCCCTGGGCACCCCTCGGTTAATGTACCTTTTTAAACATGGTTTTCCAGATTTTATTTTTAAGTCATCTCTACACCCAACATGGGGCTCAAACCCACAACCCTTGAGATCAAGAGCCATGCACTCATCGGACTGAGCCAGCTAGGCACCCCAACACACATAGAGTTTTAAAAATATAAATGTAATCATAGTATATGCTGTCTTTGCAGATTGCTTTTTCACTGAAGATGAAAATCTTGGAGATTTTCCCGAGTCAATATGTATCAATCTACCTTTTCAAGTCTTTAAAATTATTGTGCTGCAGTAACGAGCCAGGCCTTTATCCCCACGTACACACATATATAAGTATTTCTGTAGGGTGGATTCCTAGAAGTGAGACTATTAAAACATTGAGACAAAAATCAATGCCTTCCAGTGGCATTCTCAATGGTTTCTCTCATTCTTGGTGACACTGGATAGTATCAGTGTTAAAGAAATTTTGCCAAGGCCATCTAAACATTTTTTCCATTAATAAGCAGGTAATACATATACTTCATATTTTCTAATTTTGCTGTAGAGAAGCAAATAGAAAAAATCTCTATCAATAATCTTAATATTTATTAATAATCTCATTAATAATCTTAATTATAATTATTATTAATCTGAGTAATCTTAATCACCTATAATCTTACTAGCAGAGATAACTACTGCTCATATTTTGTCATATACCCTCCCAAGGCTTTTTCTGTGCATCTCTACACATATAGTTTTATAAATTTTTAATGCATGATTTGTACGTTATAAATATTATACATATTTTATACATTATTTTTAATGATATGCCATCATAGAGCTATATTGTAATGTACTTACATCATCCCCTATTGTTGAAGATTGGATTGTTTCCAATTTTTCGTGGCTCTTTTCAATTTAGAGCAAAGCCTTGTGAATATTCTTAATTATTTCTTTAGTATAAAACCCTACAGGAGCACTGTCCTTAGAAATACATTGTAAGTGAGAGAGGTGTGCCAGATGTTAGTTTTTACATAACTAGTTTTCCTTTCTTGTGTCGTGGCATCTCTCCATAGCATGAGTTCATGTCCATCTCATTCTATAAGTATTCGTGAATTTGTGAATATTTGCATGTAAGATTCATGTAGTACAAAAGGATTTCAATGAAATGTTTCTCTGCTGTACTTTTAATCTCTGTGACTTATTTATTCTATAACTGGAAGTTTGCACCTCTTCCTCCCCTGAAAAGTACAGCATTGGGAATATAGTCAATACCATTGTAATAACTTTGTACGGTGACAAATGTCACTATGCTTATCTGCTTCTGGTAGTGAGCACAGCATAATGTATGTAATTGTTGAATCACTAGGTTGTGCGCTTGATACTAATATAATATTGCATGTTGACTCTGCTTTAATTAAAAATTAAAGTAAAAACAAACAAAAATGTTTCTTCCACCCCTCTTCCTCACCCCTCTCTTCCCTTCCCTAGGTTATTAGAAATCCTCCCAGAGAGTGTCTGCATTTACAAAGATACATAAATGTAGACATTGCCCACATGCATGGGAGAGCATTTTTATGTAACAATGTATCTTGGAGATTGTTCTGTATGAGTACATAGCACGCTTCCTCATTTTATTTTATAGCTGCATAGAGTTCCCTTGTGTACCTGCATTTATGAGTCTCCTGCTGATGGACCCTCAGAGTGTTTTCAATCTTTTGCCAATCTGTAAGAAATATTCTTTTATAGTCCTCTTGCCCAGGACGGCATCTCTAGGTGAGTTCCTAGAAGTGGAATCTTTGGGTCCAAGGATCTATGCAGTGGAAATGTACGTGATTGCAGCCCAAAGGCCCCCCAATAAAGTGACACCCCTGTGTGCCCCTCCTCCCTGCAGTTAAACCAGTCTTTAACATAGGCATTGGATGGGTTTCGGGCGGGGAGGGGGCAGTGGGGAGATTCTTGTTTATCCTCCCTTGGCCGTGCCTCTGAGACCCGCCCTCTGTCCTCATCTGTGTCTCCGCAGAGCAAGCTGGTGAAGTACTTCAGCCGTCAGCTGTCCTGCAAAAAGAAGGTGGCCCTTCAGGAGCGCAACGCCGAGTTGGACGGCTTCCCCCAGCTCCGGCACTGGTTCCGGATCGTCGATGTGCGCAAGGAAGTCTTGGAGGTGACTGGAGATGGCCCCCGGCCCCCTGCCCCCTGCCCCTTACTGGCCAGAAGCCAGCCCCCTGCACAGCGGGTTTTTGCCTGTGCCCGGCACATAGTAAGCCCCCAGTAAATATGTGTTGGAGGAAGGCGCAGAGAATTTCTGATGCTGTCCAAGTGGGTTGTTAAGAACATGGTTCTATGCTCAGTTGGATCCTCTTTCAGCTCTGCCACTCATTAGCTCAGTCACCTTGGCCGAGTCATGTTACCTTTTAGACTGGTGCTGTCCAGCAGAACTTTCTGCAATGTTGGAAATATTTTATATCTGTGCTGTCTGATGCAGTGGCCACCAGACCCAGGGAGCTCTTGGGCACTTGAATTGTGATTAGTTCATGTGACTGATGAACTGAATTTTTAATTGTCTTTAATGTTAATTAATGTGGCCGGTAGCCACCATATTGGACACCACCGACTGAGGGCATTAGTTTTCTCATCTGTTAAATGGGGGTAATGATTGTCTCCTCTTCTGAAGTAGCTAGAAAGATATAATGAGATGGTCCATCTAAAATGTTCCGCTCACATTTGGGCACCTAATAGCATTCAGCAAATGTCAGCTTGTTATTATTGTTGAAAGCTTTGGAAGTAACAGGTGTGGACCACATCCTTAAAATCTCAAGGATAGTGAGATTTTCCTACCCTCTTGGATCCCAGGTCCCCACTCTTTCCAGTGTCCAGGCCTTCCTAATAAAACCAGTCACTGAATATTTGGGGCCAGGAGTTGTCCTAAGGGCTTTACACCCAGGATCTCAACTGTTGAGGCTGTTCAGACCCTCACAATGGTCTTTTGAGGTGGGGACAGTTATCCCCATTATGCAGAGCAAGAATCTGAGGCTCAGAGATGAAGCGACTTCCCCTGCTAGTGAGTGGATGGTGCTGGCAGGAGAATGCAGCTCAGAAGGACTCCGGAGCAGGTGGGAAGCACTGTGCTTTCTCCTCCTTTGTCTGTTGCTGGGGACTCGCTGAGCTGGGTAGACAAGGGGGTGTCCCCCTTGCCTGCAGGACCAAGTGCCATTTCTCATGGTGCGCCCTTCTTCTTGCTTGAAGAGGCCCGGAAGATTGTCTTCCACCTTTTGTCTTTTTCAGACCTTGACCTCTATGTGAGCTCACCTGAACCCACCAGATGCTGAGCTAGACGAAGGACCCACATATTCCTCCATCCCTGCCCCTGCCCCCACCTCATGCATGCTCATTTGATGGTGTATGATTCTATGTTCCTTTATTTCCTTCCCAGGATGGAATTTTCATGTGAATATCCTTAAAATGAAAGGTCACGTATAACTACAGACAGTACATTTTATTTGCAAGGGCCAATCCACTTTTTAGAGGCTTTTGGGACCAATTATTTATCAAGCGGGGTGAATACAGAGACAAAATCATCTCAGCCAAGGGCTGAAATCTGGTGGCCTCCAAGCTGTTCCTTGTATCTGATGCACAATTTTTGTTTGTCTGATACGGTGTTTGCAAAAAAAATTTTTGAGCCAATATTTAAAAGCATAAAGAGTTTGCATAAAACCCCTCCAGATCTCTGGCTTCTCTCGAAAAAGCCGAATTGCTGAACACAAGGCACTGAATTTCCATCTGGTGGCAATGACCTGATTTCTGCTGCCCCTTCAGATCATGCAGGCTCCTGCTAGTTGGCAGTTTTGCTCATTTACCTGGCCTGCAGGTGCCCCAGCTCTGGCTCTTACCTTAGGCTGTTAGAATCCTGGCTCCACCAACCAGGGGATGGGGAGGAGCTGGGGTTCCAGCTCTCTGCCTGCAGCTTCTGCATGCGTCCACCAGAGGTCCCCTTTCTGAGGGGGAACCAGCAGTATGGCGAAGGCTCCGAAGTAACAGCCTGGGTTCAAACTTACTTGCTGTGCATCCCTGCGCAAGTAGTCTAACCTCTCTGAATTTTAGTGTCCTAATTACAGACCAATGATGATGATGATGAAAGTACTACTTTATGTGGTCTTTGTGACATTTAAAGAAAACCCAAGAAAAGCCCTTAAAACAGTGCGCCATCCGTTTCATTTTCGCTTATTATTGTCACTTTATTGAACGGAAGTGCATCTGCTCTGTTAGTCCGGGTTTCCTTAGGCTTTGTCCATTTTTTATGTCATTATTACTTCTGTGATTTTTTTTCTGTGACCCCAAATTTCAGTGGAAATTTAGTATTTGGGGAGTAAATGATAGGATTAAAATGCACAAGTGAATCCTGAAGCAAAGAGGAGAATTCTTTTGGGTTGTGAATGAGTCCCTCTAAATGTAATTTTTTTGGTACCTTCAGATCCTGGACCATCACTTTTCTTAAAGTGGGCTTTACGAGCCATGTGTCCCTATTTGAGAAAAGCCCTAAATGACTTAAGTATTGTTTTCTCCTGCTCCCTGCCCTAGTGAGTTGGAAAGGCACTGATTTGACTTCATGGCTTTTGCTCTGCATCTGTTTTGAGGCCGGGAAAGAAGTTTTCCTCCTTCTGGCTGCCAGTTAAATGTCCGTATTGGGGGTTGGGGGGCGGGCAGGGGAAGGTGTCTGATTTTGTTGTAATATGCAGATATGGCCACAAGAGGGCAGAAGTATCCTAGTGTCCTAGAATCTCCATTTTTAGTATCTTAAAGTACTTATTTTTAAATAACATATGTAAAAACACTGGATACCATTAGCTACTATAAATGAAGGCTCTCCATTTTATATACACATATGATATAGATGCATAAATATGCATAAATGCATAAAGATGCATAAATATCAAAGTTTGACAAATTTCAAGGTGTATCTATATTATGGTGTCCGGGGACATATCGTTTTGGGGAAGGGGGGGTGGTTGCTGGTGGTGGTGAAGGGACATTTACAGCTGGCAATCCTGCCTTTTCTGTTCCCAGCCCATCTTTCCAGAAGTGTTCCTGTCCCCACCCCATGCCATACTCCAGCCTTACTACTTTGTCTTAGAATGCAAAGCCGTGCCCTATGGGGCTCAGACACAAATCCGGTTTCATTTCCAGCGCTGAGCTACCCACGGGATTCCAGCTTACCGCCACTTTGGGTTCCTAACCCCCCAATCTAGACCCTAGAAGGTGTGGCCAGGGAGGACAGCCATCAGGAGACTTGGGCTATCCAGTTTGCTCTGCTCTGAGTTCTCCCTGTACTGGGGACAAGCCAAGCTGAGCAGGAGGCATAGAGGGCCATCCAAAGACGAGGAAAGTGGAGCCCGCCCATAAGGAGTTCAGAAGGTACGGGGCGGGGGGCGTGAGGGAGACAGATAATTAACTACCACCGTCTATGGACCACTGTCTGTGTGCTAATGATAGGGGCTACCTTACCAAGTATGCACACTTAAGACCTCCATTGTACAGGGGCATAAAGTGAGGCTCAGAGAGGGTAAATGACTTGCCTGAGGTAATGAGTGGCCAAGCTGAGATTCAAACCCAGGCCTGTTTCCCCTAGGTACCGCTAGATGGCAGTGTGGAGGCTCAGCCCACTCACCTTCCCTCCGGGCACCTGAGGTGTGTTTACCATCCTTCTTCCTTCCCTCCTGTAGGAAATCACCCCTGGCCAGCTGAGTCTGGAGGACCTCTTGGAGATGACAGATGAGCAGGTGTGTGAGACGGTGGAGAAATACGGAGCCAACCGGGAGGAGTGCGCCCGTCTCAATGCCTCCCTGTCCTGCCTCCGGAATGTCCACATGTCAGGTGAGCAGGCCCGGGGGATGGAGACTCGTCCCCAGCACATCGGCCTCGGTTCCTCCCGATTTCCGTGCCTGTGCTGCAGGCCAGGATGAGACAGTCAGCTTTGGATGGTAAATATCACTCACGAGCGGAGAAAAGAGGGGATTCGGGAGCCAGAAGGGGTGAGGGCAGTTCTTGGAAGCTCATGCTCAAGGGAGCGCTGAGGTTGTAGTGCATTTGGTTCTGGATAATAAGAGCCCAGATATGGAAATCCAAGGTGTGCATAGGTGATCAGGGTCTTTGTACCTTAGACATTCTTAAATGCCTTTGCATTTTGGGTCCACATCCATCTAACTTCTTCTTCTTCTTCTTTTTTTTTTTTTTTTACATAAACAATAGACATTCAGTGTAAAATAAAACAAAAAATAGATAAAAAGAAAAGAACTATCCCAAGCTTTGCCCTCTAGGGAACCTACCGTTGTCATTTTGGTAAAAAGTTTTGGTGTAATTCTTCCAGACAAATGGGTATGTGCATCCTCTTTTTAAACAATAGAATTAAAAAAAAAACAAACAGTAGAATTAGGGGACGCCTGAGTGGCTCAGTCGGTTAAGCGTCTGCCTTCGGCTCAGGTCGTGATCCCAGGGTCCTGGGATTGAGTCCCACATCGGGCTCCTTGCTCAGCAAGGAGCCTGCTTCTCCCTCTGCCTGCCTCTGTCTCTCTCTCTCTGATAAATAAATAAAATCTTAAAAATAAATAAATAAATAAACAATAGAATTAGGATTATCCATGCACATTTTGAAACTTTTTCCCCCCACCTAATTAAATAACCTCTGTGACTTGTTTTATCAGCTTGGGGTCCAAATCGTTAGAAAAAAAAAGCAAAATTCAACCAGATGAATTGGAGATCAGTTATGAATCGGGCAGAATCCCTTCTAGCAAGTAGAGAAGTTGCACAAGAGAAGGTTTTTATAGGCAGGAGGGTAGGGCAAGAGTTATTAGCAAAACAAAAGAGAGAGTTGTTTCCTGAGAGGTTAAAACTAAGTCTGGGTTTGCTATCTTGTGGGGGTGAATGACTCCATTTTGGGAATTTTTTTCTTTTTTTAGTAGGCCTTAATGTGGGGCTTGAACTCACCACCCTGAAATCAAGACCTGAGCTGAAATCAAGAGTTGGACCCTTAACCAACTGGGCCACCCAGGCACCCCTGGGCTTGTTTTTTTCTTTTTTCACATCATCTGTCTTTGATCTTTCCCATTAATTGCTCAAACCCTTGTTTGCCTTTATTAGCAGGACATCACGTATCGTCCTCTTGAATTGCCTGCTCCTCACTAGCCTCATGATTTCCCTGCAAATTCTGGGGCCTTTGTAGTCAGAAGGGATCGGCTCTGCAAACACCCCCTAAATCTGGTCTACCTGCATGGTTGTTTCAGTTTCTGCCACTAGGTGTCACTGTAGGACCTCAGTCTGGAACCGTCAGGCATCTGCTTAGCCACAGAAGCCTTTGCTGGATTCAGCATGGAACATTCAACAAGTTATTTCCTGACTACTATGTGCCAACAGGGCTGGGATACAGCAGGGAATGAAAGAGAACATATTTGAAACAGGTCATTGGCCTGGATTCCTCCCGCCTCCCGCTCCCTGGTGCATGCCCTTTTGTATTCTTTCTTGCTAGCACATCCTTATCAAAGCTACGGTCATCATCAAAATGGACCCTGAGTCAGAGGCTGTCCTCTTATTGAAGGATATTTGGCAGCATCCCTGGCCTCAGTTATGAGATTAATAACGGTATCATCCTTTCTCCTCCCAATTCCGGTCATGACAAACAAAAACGCCTCCAGATAGTCTGGTGAACATTACCAGGTAGCTTTCCAGAAAGTTTGTATCAATTTACTCCTCTCCCGGCTCCTCCACCCCTGCCCCCCATGATACATGAGAGTGAACACTGAGGTTAGGTGGTTAATTGCATTTCCGAGTTCACATCTTCCCATCAGAGTTTGGTGAAGTTCTTATAAGTAGAGCTGGCCTCCTGCTCTGCCTGAAACAGGTGTTTCTGTCAACCCTCCGCAGGCTGAGCACTCATCCTTGGTGACATCCTGGGCTGGGCGAGACCTTGAGAGGGCCTCTACTCTGGTGGTTTTCAGTTTTTTGTTTTTTTTAAGATTTTATTTATTTGACAGAGACAGCGAGAGAGGGAACACAAGCAGGGGGAGTGGGAGAGGGAGAAGCAGGCTTCCCGCCGAGCAGGGAGCCTGATGTGGGGCTTGATCCTAGGACCCTGGGATCATGACCTGAGCCGAAGGCAGACGCTTAACCAACTGAGCCACCCAGGCGCCCCTGGTTTTCAGTTTTGATCAAGATGCACAGAATTGGCACAAACAATGAATCATGGAACACTTCATTTAAACTAATGATGTAATGTAGGGGGATTAACATAAGAATAAAAAAAAATAAATTAAAAAAAAAAAGATGCACAGAATTGAATTGGATTTACATTGCAGTTCTGTACACACACACACGCACGCACGCACACACACACCTGAAATGAGTCTTGTGAAATAGAGAATTACCATCAAACTCATTCTTACTATATATGGTATTTTGCATTGTTTTCTGTTTCATTCTGTATCACTTACCCAATGCTGGTAATGACCCATCACTTTCATGTCACACCTCACTTACAGGGTGTGAGCCATGGTTTGAAAGACGGTGATCTCTTCGATCCTGGTGGGGGAAAATTTTTTTCTCTCTATCCTTCTGGATACTTGGCTGAGATGGCCCCTGTAATAAAAGATTAATAGGAGAAAACAGAGGTTTACTAACATGGATCCCTTCTGTATATGTGGAAAAGCCTTGGGGAAACTGAGTAACTCTTCAGAGTGGCCCAAGGCATCACCTTAAATCACATCTCTAGCTAAAGACAAAAGAGAGGGTTAGGCGGGGCGGGGTGGGGGTGGGGGAGAGGCAGTTACGGGAGGTGACCAGGAAAAGCACAATTAACAAGGGGAAGGCGGTTGTACAGAAGTCTCTGCCTTCTCCACTGATAGAAGTTTCTAGAGTTTTAGAGTCACCCTTCTGATACCGAGTTGGAGACACCCTTATACATGGAGGTTTCCGTTATCAATGTCAATGTCTTTTACAAAAGTGAGACTTCTACTCGGGTTTCAGAGCTTCCCCTCTGTCTGCTGTTTTTTCAAAATAATCAGCCTAAAATAACCCTTATGCCAAAGGGACATATTTTGGGGTAGCAAATTCCGCTCCCCTTCATCCTCCTGCCTCTACCAGCCCTTCCCAGGCAGCTCAGATCCCGTCTACAGTGTCCTGCCTCCGATACAGCCTTATGGCCACTGGGACCTTGGCAACGGTGGCCAAGTGCTGCACGTTTGTCTAAATCCTACGGCTCTTGGTGCTGAGGTCAGCGTGGGAGCAGCTCAACTCAGCGCCATGTCGGGTGCATTACATTGCACAACCCAAGGAGGTGTTGGAAGCGACGAACTTTGTATTACTGGTTACGAGGAAAGAGGCAGGGAGATAGCTCTGCAAGCACAGCCTCTCCCAACAACAAAATTGGGGGAGTTTTAAGCAGCAGGCGTGTGTGTATTCACGCAGGAGTTTGGCAGAGGACAGTTCAGTCTAGAATTGGGACAAAGTCATCCGAAGGTGACAGGAGTCCAGGTCCTAGTTGGTTGAAATCACGGGCCAGCCTGGGTCGCATCGTCAGCGCTCTGACTCCAGTTAGCCCTGTGTTTGTGCACTCAGAGGGGTTTAAATCCTGCAGAGATGACACAAGAGTGGGCATTGGGTCAATCTTGACTTCTGAAAAAGCACTGGGAGTTTTATCACTGATTTACTGTCCCTGCTGTGGTCAGACTATGTGCTGGCTTGGTAGTGGCTATTTGTGTTTTACATTTTTTTGTTCCCTGAAAATCATTAACTGCCGAGATCTATTTTTTTCTGCAATTTTGATGCATCCCGGGAAGTTCTTCGAGAAACATGTTTGTGCAAATAACACTGGCCAGGCATCGATCATAAAACAGCCGGGGTCCTCACATGACTTGGCTGATGTTAAGAAAGCTGTATCTCATCTTTGTTTTTCTGGGGACCCCTAACTCCGTCTTGTCTACACACCCAGTTCCGAATTTCCGTGGTGTCACACTTTACTTCTGCTCTTCCTGTTTGCAGCAGGGCTGCTCGTCACATTTTAATTTAAATTTTGACCTTTTTTGGGGGAGTGATTTTTTTTAAAAAAGTGGATGCCTATCTCTTCACCAGACTGTAAGCTGCAAAAGGGCAGGGATCGGACCTCTTTTTGCTCACCATTTTATTCCCAGCCTGATATCAATATCTGGTACACTGTAGGGACTTAGTAAATATTTCTGAATTAAAAGTTTTTTTAAAAAAGATTATTTATTTATTAGAGAGAGAGAGAGAGAGAGCGCATGCACTGCACACAAACAGGGGGAGCAGCAGAGGAAGAGGGAGGAGCAGACTCTGCTGAGCAGGGAGCCCAATGTGGGGCTTCATCCCAGGACTCTGGGATCATGACTTGAGCCAACGGCAGACATTTAACCAACTGAGCCACCCAGGCACCCCAATATTTCTGAATTAATACACCTTTTTACACATGTAGCCCATGCAAATCACCAGTGGCTTAAAGTACATGGCCTTTTTCATGGGTTGCAAAGAAAGCTCAGAATTTGGCTTCTGTTTGGAGCCGGAACTCTTCACATTTCCCCCTCGAGCCTTTAACTATTGGATAAGTCTATTAGTTACATAGTTTTCTGGATCAGGCATGGATTTCGCATCTTGCTCCTGGCACCACTGCCTAGAATTCCCTTTCTCTTTGTTTTCCCAGTGAAGCCCTGCTTATCCTCACACCCAACTCCTGCCTCAAAGCCTCTGCACTTTGTTGAATGAATAAATGAATGAATGAATGAACAAACGAATGAATGAATGATTCTGTCACCAACTGACCGTGACTTACACTGGTTGTCAGTTTCCTGGCCTCCCTCCCTCATCTGACTGTGACCTCCCATAGGGCAGGTGCAGTTTACAAACCTAGCTCCTGGCTCCCGGTGCCCCTGTTGAGGGAAGACTCAGGAAGCTTTGATGTGCT